ATTATTTATCACTCTTAAAAGCTTCCTTTAAAATTTCTATCATTCAAATACTGGCTGGGGAAAATTTAAAGTACAGACAAGCATGTTTTACGCACTTGCTAGTCTAGCTTTTATGCTGATGAGAATTTACTAAACACCAGTAAAGGGAATAGCAGTTATCAGCCCTAGTTCACAACTGTGAATTTTTTAGGCCAAACAGATGCCCTTGCAGAATCACAGCCAAGTGTTAATGACAGGCCCAGTCCTTCTTCCACTGTAGACACTAGTTATTTCGTACAGCTTCAAATGAGCCCAGGTTTGCTCCAATGCTCTGAGCAAACATGCTGCTCTCAGTGAGACACTCATTGCCACAGCGAGCAAGATAGGGACCTCTAACATCACCCAAAGAAAGGAAAATAAAACAAAAGACAGTGTACTTTGCCTCAGGCTGTTTTCTTTGATGTATAGAATGATTCTTTTAAATTCTTTTTTCAGTTGATTAAAAATAATAGGAAGCAGACCTTCAACATGAAACCAGCTAAATATGCTAAGAGATCTCTTTTTAAAAGCACTTAAATCTCCTCAAAATCTGTTCAGTGAATTCTGCCATCACTTATACCTATGCAACAACAGAATACCTTGGAGCTCCCCCAGGTAGCAGAGGGCAGACAAGAAAGGGTGGTGCCCATGTTTAATCTGTGTTCCCAGACCCACCCATTAGTATGAGAGTCTGCAAGAGAGTTGAACGGGCAAGACTCCAGTCAAGAGGTTTATTCTGCAAAAAATCTTTGTTGAGCAAATCCATACTCTTGTCTTTTAAAGGATTCAGGGTAAGAAAATTTAAGCCCAGGTGTAAACATTTGCAAACTGACGTTTATTTTTTTCTATCTATGCACTTGAAACGAACATTGAAAGGGCAAAATCATCCTAATCCTCTCATGGCAATGTCTTTCTCTCCTTCCTAAAGCTGAGATTATCATCTCATCAGTTGCCACACAGCTCCTGAGAGAAGTAATTCACTTGATTTTCCTTTATAATCACAGCACAGGATTTTTCTGTTGTTGCTGGAATGGAAAATGCACACAGCCTGTTCTCTCTTGCCCCTTTTAAGTTGCTTACAGACATGGACATGGCAAGCTTCAAAACACCCCAACTGCACTAAGAAAGCTAAATCTGTGTTCGCTCTAAGTTTCAAGCAACCTGCTTGTTATCAGCTCTTCTCAACAAAGGCAGAAAAATCTCCAGTTTTAAATTTCTATTCAGTGAAGACTGAAGACCACAAAACTGTTGCCATTGCTTTCCAGCACACAAAATTAACAATTTGTGCTGCTGTGCGCAACTTTCAGTCAAAGTTCGTCTGATTTATAAGCAAGCAGATGGTTCACATGATAGTCCACAATAAATTACAACAGTTAGAAAGACAGTTACATTTTGAGAGTGACAGTGCAGCTGAGCTACAGATGGGTTTATAGATGACCCTTCCAGTTTTTAATAATTCCATAATTTATGTGCAAGTAAAGAAATGCGAGTATTCCTAATGCACCTTCTTGACTAAGTACAAATCACTTTTATTTACACAGGCAATACTTCATGGTCCAGTTAACTTCTTAATTAAAGGCAGCAAGATGCTCATGTTCCATGCAAGTGGCATGGAAAATACTGTTTAGTGTGCAATTTGTTCAGCTGGGAGTTTAAGATGCTCTGAACACTCCTGGAAAAGGGAAGGCATCTATCTCATTTCTTTAAAACAAGACTACGAGGGTGCAAACACTGCTACCACCAGTTACTATTCATTAATCTCTACATAAACTTCAGGCTCGTGCAATAACAAGGTTATGTTGTTTGCAAGCTCTGATGCTTAGAAATAGGCTCTTAACCCAAGAGGCCCTGCAAACCCATATTACTGAGCCAGGACTAGGATAGGGAAACAATAGGAACAGAGACCCTTGTTGTATGAATTGGGGGTTCACTCTTGAACGAGTGAGGCAAAAGGAAAGCAAACCTGGGGAGATGTCATTCCTGGGACAGAAGGCAGCTATGATGCAGAAAGAAACTGGCTGGAAGCAGCTTTAAGAAGCCAGTTCATGTCAGTAATTTTAACGGCCGCTTCTCCAGCGTGGGACCAAAGCATGTCGGTCCAGTCCTTCTGCTAACATTTCTGAAGAGACTCCCAGAAAGATGCCTTTGTTGGGTTGTCATCAATTGCATGCCACAGTACAACAGATTCAGTTCTTCTTGGTTGCAATGAGTTACCTTCCAAAAGGAGCACAGCTAAATGCAACTACTCTGTCCAGAAGGTGATGAAGGGAGCAGTACCTGCTAGAGCTCTTTAAGGCACAAATGACAGAAATTCAGAGGTTCCAACACAGCCGGTCTCTTGGGATGACATTTGAGGGCTTCTCCTCCTCTCTAAACCTTGGTCTTCCCTTCCTGCCAAATTAATTTGAACAAGAAATCTACTTTTAAGTGGAAATCCAAAATTACATTTAAACCAGAAGGCACAGCTCCTAGGCAAGCAAGTCTGTGTGTAATTTTAATTACCATCTTCCTGGGACTTAAGAGATGAAGCAAAGAAGAAGAGGCACCAGTGACAAATTCAGGCTTTCAAGAATTATCACAATTCATGTTTGGGAGATACTTCAGCAGGGATTACCCAGCTCTGCCCACAGCAAGGCAGTGTGGGGAGCAGCACTGCAAAGACATATGAGTGGGAAAACCACTCCATGGAGGTCATGGGACTGCAGCCACTCACACAAAAAAGCAACTCTTCCCCTGCCTTTTCCATGCATCACCAACACCCCTTCATCTACTACGACAGAATGATAGTTAAATTAAATTTGTTGTTTTGGGGTTTTATTTTTAAATGAAAGTCTTCTATAAATAACCAGTGTCTGAAAGTCTTTTGAGCTTCATATAAAACTATTATCTATTACTGTATACAACTCATAGGTTGTTTAATTAAACATGAAAAATATTGTATGTCAGCTTCTCTCTGGGATGCTCTTTACCATTATCTGTCATTATTGTTTCTGTTACACTTTGAATATTTAAAGCCACAACATGCACTTCTGAAAACCCAGAGATTACTATGGAATTAGTATGGATGTTCACATGTACTACCGAGAGTGGAGTTTGGCACTTTATTTTAGCAATATTCATCAAGTTCAGGAACTGCTAGTACGCTTCCCTCCAAGAAAATACTGAGTCACACTACTGTTCTTGAAAAAAATATAGCATTGATTATTTAATAATATTTTAAAATATTCTGTAACTATCATCCTTTGATTGACTGCAACCCTTTCATTTGCTTACAAGTGGCCAAATTCACACACAGCACAAAAAAGCAGAAGTTGATTGAAATCAATAGGATTGCCCCTGTTGCCCCCCAGCGCAATAATAATTCCAGAGTTATCGTAAGCAACCTGAAAGCTAGCATAGGCTACTCCAGTTTAACCCAACTGAGAAGTCAGAGAAACTATACGCATTGTTTATGTAACCCTATAGTTAATACAGTCACCAGGACTCATCTTCTGAAGCCAGTGGCATGCTCCAACTCACTAGGCTATAGATCAGACTTTCTGGCTTGCAGCTAGATCCTTCTCTGGCTAACAGCAACAATAATCCTGGAGAAGGGATAAAGCAAGGAACACACACTCAGGCCTTATCTTGTATTTCTTGTTCCTTGCGTTCATTAAACTGTCAATGGTGTGGAAATTAGTTTCATAACCTCAAGAAGGGGACACCTTTTGCCCCCCTGCCGTATTCTAATGTAGATCAATATGATAATATGAAAACTGTAAACTCCTCAGTAGCAAGAAGTGTTTCTCAGTCATCTTAGTAATCAAGTATTATTTCCAGCAATCTAACTAGAGAAAAAGAAATGTAAGTAGCAATTTGTCAGTCTATTTATCAAACCGAGTGCTGCACCTTTCCCACACATTTTACGTTACAAAGTGCATGACATGTAAGATTCTACAGTTCTGTTTTAGTTCAGAGATAAAAACATTTCTAGATATGAATGTTTTCTTATTAAGTTTTCTTCCTAAATGATTATGCTTTTCAAATTATTTCCTAGCCATCTAACAGAGGTTACAACCTTCAGTAACTAAATCGGATATTGGATTGGCTGTGTGTTGTTTTCACTATGCTACAAGTTCCAGTTTCTACAGGAGGACTGAAATGCTGAGATAAAGAGATGTTAACATTATTTAATTAGCTATCTGCCATTGTTATCAAAATGGAAGGTTGGTGTCTGACTCAAATTAACACTTTGAATCAGGAAACAAGACAGATGTCATCTTCTGAGAAGGATCCTGGAAACTCTCTATAATTGTTTCAGTTATTTTAAAGCTGCTCAGGACAAACAGGATTGCGTTAGAAGGAGCAAAAGTCACTGACAGTCAATGAGGTGCTGCTATGAAAATGCTATTTCAATCACACTTGTGTTCTTTCCCATTTTCAGTTGTTAACATCCATGCCACTTTTGTCAAGCAGTCTCTTCTAGCAGCATTGAATTTTAACTGCACATAATTTTAAAACACAACATGAAATAGGACTGAGCACATAATATGGGTTTATTGTGCCAGCTAACAACAGACCAGGCCATTGTACCAAGGCATCACATCTCTGCTCTCTGCAGGAAAGGAGTAGCTAGTTAAACGCAAGCTGCATTTCACAACTGCCTGCCATCCCTCTACCTCAGAAAGATTAGGTCTATCAGTTGAGGGTTGTTTATGATTCATCTCAAAAGAAAACAAAAAGACAATGTGAAACCTCAGAGGTCCTGGAAGCATTTTAACAGTGTCTTACACAAACTAAACCATGTATATCAACTTTGCAACTGTCCAGAGGATATAGTATCTGGATGAAGTCCTCAAAGGACACCCACTGTCTTACTCCCCAGATTACATTTCTATAGAATGGCCAAAGTAATTTATCCAATAACCATGTCACCTTGACACTTCATGGTTTCCTATTGTTAGGGCTACAGAAACATGCTTATTCTTTTCCCAACAACTTACTGGTCTTGACCGGATTTCTTTGGCGTAGAGAGGTTTCAAGAATTCTGAATCTCCTTCAAGCTTTAGACCCTTTTCTGTGATTCTCAGGTTCCCCATTCCATCCTGAAACACAGACAAAAAGAAACAACTCCATTAGTTGCAATTACTAAATTCACCAGGCTGCCAGTAGCTGATTTTTTTTTTTCCCTAGAGGATAACATGTAAAGCACTGGGAGGCACTAGACAATGCAATTACTCATGTTATCCTTTTAGCTCTGTTTCTGTGGGGGAAAAAACCCAGAACATTCAGAACAATCTGCAATGCCCCCCAGTAAACCATTTACACAGATGAAAGATGTTCTTTTAAGCTAGTTGTCTCTAATCAAAGAGACGCAGCAATGCTCTGTGTTAACAGGAAACTATTTACTGTAATATCCACCGGCTGACTGTATATTAATATACCTTCTCATTCATAGCAAATCCATATAAAGGCTATGTGATTAATTCTACTGAACTCCATATTGAGAATATGTGATTAACTCCACTGAACTGACAAAATAAGTTTTGGCTATGTAGGAGTATTGCAATATAATGGGGTAGGGAACTTGACCCCTGTTATTTGGTGGAATCTCTGCAAAACATGGACTCTTTGGTGGGATTTCTTTTGGTGGTTATCAGCCCTTAAAGCAACAAGATGTGGAAACCTGTTGATTAGTTTCAAGTCTTTCAGTCTTTCCTGCAATGTTGATATTGTTAAGATGTTACACAGCTTTATTTGCATATACATTCATGGAAGTATTTGCTCTCAGAGAATCAACAGGAATACCCTTCCAACAGACTGCTGTCCTGCCTTGGGCTAACCCCTGCCTTTTCTTTCCCATGATGATCAGCTCAGGATCAGAGCCCTCACTCTGCTTCTTGCACAGCCCAAGCACATCCCAGCAATCTGAACTTCTATATCCAAATGTTTGAGTCCCCCAAGTCATTCTCGTGCCCTTCAAACAACCATTGCAAAGTCCATTGGCCAGGCATTAAGTGACTGATGTAACATGCATTTCTGTCCTCTCCTCATCTGGATTTTAAGGTTGCAGCTATCAGTCCTCACCCTCTCCCCTGCCCTCCCAGGCTCCCCAGTTCCCACCCCTCCCTGTGCTTCCACAGCAAAAATCTTCTTGATAAATGGTGTGAAGTGTTGGCTGCAGACCTCCAGCAGATGACTGCAAATAGTCCCTTTTCTTTAGAAATTGTTTAGTTATGTGTGTCCAAGATGTAATGAAACATCTGACAAACCATAATAGCAAACAAAATACATGTCAAAACTTTGTACGATTTTTTCTTACCGTTTTTATGCAATAAGACAGGTATATGGATACATTGGCACAGAGCAGAATTAGACTAAACTATATTTCATCTTTAACCTATGAAAGTCATAACTTTTACTAAGATAAGGGAATTAGGATCATTTAGGCTATAATTGCTTAGAGAAGGGTGTGTGAAGAACCATAGTGTGGGCAGGGAATTGCACAGGTAAATGTATAATCAAAATCACATAAAATGCAAGATATTATTTCTAAGATTCAGAGTGATTGTCAAAGTGTACAAGGATTGAGGTAAGTTGGTTTTTTTTTCCTGAGAAAAAGATGCACTGAAGGGTATCTTTTACCATAAATTTGACCGCCATCACTAGGATTTGAGACTGACACTAGCAAAAGCTCTGGATCCACATGTATAAATCAAGATTGGGAAATGACCAAGAGCTGGATAGCCAAGAATTGCCATGACAATCCTTAAACATACTCCTTAAGGAATCTTTCAACCTGCTTATTTTCCCTCATTTCTCCAGGCTAGAGGAGCAGGAGGATGATGCTATATGATGCCTCAAGGCCTCCAAGATAAGACAGGACACAGCAATCACAAAACCTACAATATCTGGAGCTCTGCATGGGGAGCACATTGAAGTGAGGAACACACACATCAGCACATCCAGTCATGTTACAGTGAGAGAGATGTTGAAACCGAAGGTCATGACACATGCCACAAGATAGCAGGAATACTAATTTGGAGGAATTACTGCTCTATGTATATGGACATGCCATACTGACTCCAGGCATCTCATGCAATTTAGGGACTCATTGAGAGGGACTGGGCTGCCTCTATCTCAAGTGCTGTGAGACACGTCCTTAAACACTGAAGTCCAAATCAAAAGAGCCACCTCAGCACCTAACTCACAGCTGTTACAGAGATTTTAGAGGAAAAGGGTTCTTGGGTAGAAGCCCTAAGTAGATCAAGGGAAGACCAGGGAAGTCCAGAAAAACCACATATATCTGGGTATACATCTTGCATATTTTCTAATCCAGCTGCAAAAAATAGAACACATCTGTCTACTTCTTCTTCCTCCCATTGCATGTGCACCTCCAACACTGTCACTAAAAGTGAATAGCTAACCCAAATAGATTTGCATGAACTATTGCCAAAAGGCATGAATCTGGAGGGATAAAAATCAAAGGCATAGTATGGCTCAGCAGCGACACTGATCACTCGCCAGAGGTGCTCCCATTCTGAGAAGTATCGTTCCCAGGGCGTACCCTGCCAAGTAAAGATTGTTCTTGCCAAAGTGTGGTGTCTTATGAACAAAGGCAGGCTCAGGAGTGCTGGGCGATAAAATGACCGCTGTCATCTCATTTTGAAATGAAAGCTGTAAGCAAACTTTAAATAGACACACATGCCAAAAATACTATTGATTGTTGAAGGGAGCAGAATGAGAGATGGGTCATGAAGTGCCACAAGCTATATTCCTTGTCCTGGGTGTAAAATATTGGCTTATGATTTCTAGGTTGGTGGTGGCACAGAAGGCGTTCATTTATCTCAAGCAAAAGGATGAAGGAAAATTACTGAAATAGGATTATGCACCAAAGAGCTCAGATTAAATTTTGATAGTGGTATGGTCAGTGATTTGAATGAGTAGGAAGTATTACAGCTATCTGCAGACTCTCACATGTTTTGCACTGCTAAAAAAACTACAAATTTTTTCCCAAATTAGATATTTCAGTAAGGTTACAAGCCCTGATGGCTTTCACATTGCAGGGTCTTCTCTGGTTTCATTAAGAAAATTTGCAGGTCATGTGAGCTGGTATACACCACATAGAGCTGCAAGAATGACCACATCTGTGGATACGCAATCCTGCTCACTCCCAGCGCTCACTCCTGAGCTGACGCGGGCCAATACTTTACCAGCAAGATGGACCAATGGATAAAGGGACTTGCCAAGTCTCCACTGAAGGCATGGCAAACCAGAAATTTTGATGGCTCACAACTCTATTCTATCCTGAGTAGTGATACAGATCCAGCATTCCACTCTGCTCCTCTCTTGAGTGTTTCTCTTCCTTTCGCTCCTTCACCCTCTGTTTCCCATGTGTACCCCACAGGTTTTTTTATATATGAAAAACACACATATGGGACATTTAGCTCACAGCTAGCAGGTCCTATATATCCCCCAAGAGATATCAGGCCTGTGGGACAATGTACTACAACCAAAACTTCAAGAACACATTTGATTTACATGATACGAGAAGGCATACTCTCTAGGTTGGAGAAAAAGAGGCACTTCCCCGTGTTACTCCTTTTAACCTTTGATCCTTCTCAACCTCTGGCCCCCACTCATCTTTCTCTCCTCCTGCAGTTGCCAAAACTAACAAAAGTGCACCCACCAGACATTATCTCTTGACTTCCCTGGAGTTTGGGTAGGGGTGCAATGCTTTGCACTGATTCTTACTGCAATTAAATCTCTGTTGCTCATGTTTCTCATGATTCAAGAGGACAGCTTTTTGTAGTGACAGTCTGGGTCAGCAGGTGAAAAAACAAGCAAAGGTTGTAATCTGAGTTTAAAGTTAATGAGTCTCCTGGCCTCTTATAGCACAATCATTATTAAATCACATGCATTTATAATTTCCCAATAGAAAAAAACCAAGCAGCTTGCAGAACTATATAGAGATCCCAAAATACATGTAAATTAGACAGAAAGTATTGTATGAAAGACTACTTCGCATGTTGGTTTGGATAAAGCATCTTTATCCTCTCTAAATTATATGGTTTAATAACAAACAAATGTCATACTATGCTACAGAGAATATATATGAAAGTTCCTATGAAATTTCATGGGCTGTGACCTATAAAATGTAGCAGAAAGCTGCCCAGAGTGACAGAGACCACAAGTTTTTATTAAATATTGTGTCTGTGATTGGTATATATCCTTATCTGCCACTCTATTGCTTGTGAATAAGGAAAAAAAAAAATGCAGTACTGATTATTTGTTACGCTGACATCTGACAATCTTTGTTTCTCCCTTTTTTATTAGTAGACTCCTCAGCAGAGAGTGAATGACTTTATCACGCAGGCGCAAGCCAGCTTTGTGGGAGCTGCCAGGAGTCAAGCTCCAAACAGGAGGCACAGAGTCAGGAACTTTCCATTACCACCTGCTTTGAATTATTTGGCTTTTTGGTAGGGCATGGTGAAAACTTTCACATCAATTTTATCATCTATGCCTCCTCTCTTTTTATGTAATGCCTTATAATGGGCAGGCATAAAAATTTATGTGCTATTGCTGACTGCTCTGTGTTGAAAGGGAACAGCACTGGTAAAAACCTGAATAACATAAATGTCATTTTGGTGATGCTGAATGAGAAAGGGTGTTTTTTTAGTAGCTTGATAAGCAGCTCAGTTTTACAACTAATTACAAATGACAGCATTAGTATTAGGGAAAGAGCCCAGCATTGCTGCTGTCTGATCACCAAGTCTTCTCTGTGCCTTTTGGTTAGCAATGTGGCTATACATGTAGGTAAAGCCTAGCTTTTTTGTTGTTTTCCTTTTTAACAGTTGTGGCTTGCTCTGATTTTTTTTGTTTTTAAATTGTATGGCTGGTAGCAGGGAGATTCAGTTAACAGAATAAGAAAAAACAGCCAATCTAACTAATAATTGCTGTGGTAAATACCTGGAAGTGTTATTAGCTGCACAAATCTGGACTGCTTACACGTAGGAATGGGTGTAATTTTCAGTGGTGTCTGCCGTCCATCAGCAGCTTTATTAGATCAGGCTGGGCTCACGCCACAGCTTAACCTAGTCGAGAACCAAGGCAGTGATTACGTGTATTCACTGTGGCCCTTCGTGCCAGGATGCTTTTTTCTTTACAATCAGTTCAGCCTCACGGTCCTCTTGCGCTTCCTCTGTTCTTCTCGCATTTCTCAACATACAGGCGACTTTGATGTTTATTGAGGTCTTTCTAAGGATTTTAGGGACACCAGTGATGGGGAACACAGAGAGCTCCATCTATCTGCTGGCCAACTGCACTGGTAGGTGTTTCCCCATGCTTTTCCCTGCACCCCCATCCCTTTTCAGTTTTCAGGAGAAAAAAACTCTTGGGAAGGTTTGTCTCTGCACGGCAGGTAAGCATTTACTTTTTTACTAGGAATAAACTGAAGTTATGTTTGGCAATGTCCTATGGGAGAGAATTATCTTTGGAGACCGCTCATGTCAGATGGCTGAAACACCTGATTATTGTTGCTTGTATTATTGATTGCTGTGCTCTGCATCGCTTCCAGGTATGTGAAAGTTATTACACAGCTCAATACATCCAAAGTTAGGGAAAAAAAATAGCAAATGCAAGTGACCTGTTTTTTTCTTCCCCTACTGAGAAGATTTCTGCGCTGTTCTTCTACCTCTGACTTCACATTAAATGTTTCCAGGTTCCACAGATTTAAGGAAGGTCTGTTCAGATACACATCGTTGCCAGTTCTTCACAGCCTCAAAACACCTACTTGCTCTAATAAGGTCTGCCCTCCCTCCTTCTCCTTATTTTCTTCACTTAATTTGTCATCTCAGTAAAGATTCCAGTATCCAGCTGTGGATTAGCAGAAATATTTTCATATGAAAGCCAGGAGAGCCTAAACCCCTACCAGCGGCACCAGCCCTATGAAGTTAAAGCTGGTTACACAGCATGGTGCAGAGCAAAATACACTGCAAGATAAGGAGACAATGTGTGACAGCTTCTTTCTCTCTGACATAAGACCTTGTTCTGAGACCTCACGTATGGACACAGGTTTGTGTGGACAGTAGAGAAAAACAGGCCAACGTAGTGTTACATAGCATAGATGTTCATATCCCTGTATGCACAGATACATGCTTATTCTTTGAATTGCACTGAGGTCTCATGTCTGCAACTGGCATTTGTCTCCCTCTTCTGCCTCCTTATTGACCTCGGATATCTTTGTCAGATGTCTTACTGGTAGTGTTTTCATTTAAAGGTGATAGGCACAGCGTAGGATAGCTGTGCTGAGACATTGGTGGATGAAGGAAGGTGACCCCAAGCACCTTGCATCACTGTGAAGCAGTGTATATGCCCTCTCCAGGGAAGGATGAAGACACAGATGAAGCACAGCTGAAATCTTTGCAGCTAACTGCTGCACTAAAACAACATTATAAATTGCAAGACTAGCAAGCAGCTAACTTGCTGCTCCCTCCAGAAGGCTCCATCCAGAAGCTCGTGACAGTCTGTGAGAAGACACCTCTATATAATCTCCGGCACTGCAGTAATCAGTCACAGGGAGACACAGAATTGAATGAGCAAAGACCAGCTGTGGGAGTCACCCACTGGAAAATGACCTTTAGAAGCTGCTGTTAAAGTTGTAT